TTGTTTCTAAAATCAATGAAATATCTGTTACTATGTTTACTTAATGGTAAGAGTGAAAATGTAAAGTCAATGGACGATGGAACTGATTAAAAGAACAAGTTTGTATATTAAGTTGTTTGTTGATATTTTTGTAGAGTAGAATCAGAGATGCAATGAAACATATACTGTATTTGCTATTACATTTTTTAGCCCTTGATGGTTTGATAATCATATTAGTTTTGTCTTCTGTCTTTAATGCTAAATTATTTGTTTAAATTTTTTTATAGTACCTATAGATATAGTTTCATTAATATTTCAAAAGACTGTGTATTGATAAGGCACAGCAATATTTCTAAAGTTTATAACAGCTGACTTAGTTTTGCTAATGATTTATTGTGAGTAATATAAAGAAACTGAAGATGGAAGGATTTGTGATTTGATATAAAGAAAAAGATGAGTGAAATTTAAAAAAATGGTAATTTAAATTTAATAATTAGTATTTTTGCAACTTCAAAATTGAAATTTAAAATGTCAATAATAAATTAAAAGATATGTAAGATGAAAGTAAATCATGTAGGTATGTCAATGTTTTATTCGAAGATTTGGTAAGTTTTTCTCATATCAGCTTAAGATTTAAAATTAATCAAAACCAAAATGGTGGTATCCACTGCTTACCAGATTTAAAAGTCATATAACTTAAACGTTTCTATTAAGGCTGTAAAAGTTGAATTTTGTTTCTAAAAGCGTTGGCGGATGTGTAACTATTATATGCTACAGATGTAAAGATTAAAATGTTTCTATTTTGTGTCCTCTTCCCGTTGCAAAGCACGGGTACAACAGCTAGTGTTGAATAGTTGCTAAGGCTTAAAGTTAAAGAAAAACATTTATAAAAACATGCAAAATTTAAATTTCCATGTTATTTATACATTACCTACATAGAATAATTAAACCGTTGCAGTTTGCTTGTTTATGAACACATTTGTATAAAATTTGGCAAATAAATTTATTTAGTAATAATCTATTAACATTTTACAAAAAAAATTACCCTTCGTTGTAGCAACTCGCGTGATAACTCATTAAACTTAGGTTATTATTTAACTTCGGAATAAACATGACTATTTAAGGAGATATTTTGATGAAAATCCAATCGAGCAAATAGAAATTCACTTATTCCGCTGGTTTTCTGTGGCTGGGGTATCTTGTTACTTCAGTTATACTACTTAAAACATTGATTAAGCAAATAAAATTATCCAACTATTGTAATACAGTGGAACAGTAAAGCGCTACTCATAAAACTCACACAGAAAAATAAAATAATACATTGTCGACTTAAGCGTACAGTGACACTAACGTCTTGAAACAAACATAAAAAATCGTTTTACAATAGGATGAAAAGTCTATAAGCTAATCGGCACAATAAATTCGGTCACCTAGACTAAAATCTAAAACTACAAATGAAATTATTTGATCCAGAGGAATCATGGATCAGAGTTTCGGTAAAACATTACAGTATAATGGAACAAATTAGATATTATTCTAGTTAGTTGTTTTTTATCTTTATGTTTTCCAACATGTTTTGCTTACGTTTATAGTTTAAGGTTGTGTAAATAGATTATTTTCATACACGATATGTTTATAAAGTAAATAAAATAGCTTATTTAAATTTTTATCTTTTTGAAAAAGCAGTTTCATTTTGTTTCCCTTTCGTTAAGGTTACCTCTCCTCAGATTATACCTCAGATTTCTCCACAGATAATTGACTTGATTGCCTCAATCATATTAATAAATATTATATACTACGATGTATTTTACAATTGGAATAGCTCAAAGTTGTTGTGATGTGCATAGAAAAAATATAATGCATTCTTATTTGTTGCAAGTTCCTATCAACCATATACATTTTGCCATATAACTTGGTAATTTAGGGGACTGCCTCAATCACACTCATACTGATTATTCTACACATTGTATATTAACATTAGAATACCTCAAAGTTGATGTAATGGGCTTAGGAAAAAGATTGTGCACTTTTCCTGACGCAAATTCCTATCAACCATATAGATTTTGCCTTATATCTTCGTAACTAACTAGACTGCCGCAATTATACTCATACTGATTATTATATACATTGTATATTAGCATTAGAATACCTCAAAGTTGATGTGATGGGCTTAGGAAAAAGATTGTGCACTTTTCCTGATGCGAGTTCCTATCAACCATATACATTTTGCCATATAACTTCGTAATTTACTGGACTGCCTCAACCATATTTATACTGAGTGTTCTACACATTGTATATTACCATTAGAATACCTCAAAGTTGATGTGATGGGCTTAGGAAAAAGATTGTGCACTTTTCCTGATGCGAGTTCCTATCAACCATATACATTTTGCCATATAACTTCGTAATTCACAGGACTGCCGCAATCATATTTATACTGAGTATTCTACACATTGTATATTACCATTAGAATACCTCAAAGTTGATGTGATGGGCTCAGGAAAAAGATTGTGCACTTTTCCTGATGCGAGTTCCTATCAACCATATAGATTTTGCCTTATAGCTTCGTAATTCACAGGACTGCCTCAATCATATTTATACTGAGTATTCTACACATTGTACATTACCATTAGAATACCTCAAAGTTGATGTGATGGGCTTAGGAAAAAGATTGTGCACTTTTCCTGATGCGAGTTCCTATCAACCATATACATTTTGCCATATAACTTCGTAATTCACTAGACTGCCGCAATCATACTCATACTGATTATTCTAAACATTGTATATTACCATTAGAATACCTCAAAGTTGATGTGATGGGCTTAGGAAAAGATTGTGCACTTTTCCTGACGCAAATTCCTATAAACCATATAGATTTTGCCTTATAGCTTCGTAATTCACTGGACTGCCGCAATTAAACTCATACTGATTATTCTATACATTGTATATTAGCATTAGAATACCTCAAAGTTGATGTGATGGGCTTAGGAAAAAGATTGTGCACTTTTCCTGACGCAAATTCCTATAAACCATATAGATTTTGCCTTATAGCTTCGTAATTCACTGGACTGCCACAATTATACTCATACTGATTATTCTAAACATTGTATATTACCATTAGAATACATCAAAGTTGATGTGATGGGCTTAGGAAAAAGATTGTGCACTTTTCCTGATGCGAGTTCCTATCGACCATATACATTTTGCCATATAACTTCGTAATTTACTGGACTGCCGCAATCATACTCATACTGATTATTCTAAACATTGTATATTACCATTAGAATACCTCAAAGTTGATGTGATGGGCTTAGGAAAAAGATTGTGCACTTTTCCTGACGCAAATTCCTATAAACCATATAGATTTTGCCTTATAGCTTCGTAATTCACTGGACTGCCGCAATTATACTCATACTGATTATTCTATACATTGTATATTAGCATTAGAATACCTCAAAGTTGATGTGATGGGCTTAGGAAAAAGATTGTGCACTTTTCCTGACGCAAATTCCTATCAACCATATAGATTTTGCCTTATAGCTTCGTAATTAACTGGACTGCCGCAATTATACTCATACTGATTATTCTATACATTGTATATTAGCATTAGAATACCTCAAAGTTGATGTGATGGGCTTAGGAAAAAGATTGTGCACTTTTCCTGACGCAAATTCCTATCAACCATATAGATTTTGCCTTATAGCTACGTAATTCACTGGACTGCCTCAATCATATTTATACTGAGTATTCTACATATTGTATATTACCAATAGAATACATCAAAGTTGATGTGATGGGCTTAGGAAAATGATTGTGCACTTTTCCTGATGCGAGTTCCTATCAACCATATACATTTTGCCATATAGCTTCGTAATTTACTGGACTGCCTCAATCATATGTATACTGAGTATTCTACACATTGTATATTACCATTAGAATACATCAAAGTTGATGTGATGGACTAAGGAAAAAGATTGTGCACTTTTTCCTCATGCGAGTTCCTATCAACCAGATTTTGCCTTATAGCTTCGTAATTCACTGGACTGCCTCAATCATATTTATACTGAGTATTCTACACATTGTGTATTACCATTAGAATAGCTCAAAGTTCATGTGATGGGCTTGGGAAAAAAGATTATGCACTTTTTATGTTCGGAGTTTTAATTGTTCGCGTTATGTTAAGCCTTAGCCACGTATAATGTACAGTACGGTCTCAAATATGCCTTTTAAAATGCGTCAATTAATTAGTTTTAACTTGTATACACGTTTTATCAATGTATTATTGACATTATATAAATATAAAAACACCATTTCGCATCGTATTGTCTTTGATTTGTGTTTCCGACATCCCTGCAAAACACGTTTGTGGCGTCCGCAGGCGTACCAACCCACATCTATTACAAACCGAAAAAGCGCCGATGAAAAGAGCCGCTAACTTCACGACGGTAACATAGTCCCTTAGGAAACTATTAGTTTGAATCTGCAATCAGGCAGAACACCTGCGACCAACACAGAACTCTCTAGCGGCACTCAAGTCTATAAATGGGGATTTGGGGGACATTTTTATTTATTGCCTTTTTTTATTTGTTTACTTTACAATCTGTTCTATAATATATTGAACAATAAGTAAATGCTATGTAATACATAGTTATAATGTAATAATGTTGATGATTTTAAAAACTATTTCATGTTTGAGTATGTATTTTAAGAGGAACGCCAATTTGCTTGAAACGTCAACACCAGCCAAGAATGCCAAGGGTATTTTTCCAAGGAATATACATATATTTTCTTTATACACTTTGTATAACCCATGGTGGAAGGAAAATAAATAACCACTACAGCTTCATTTACAAGTTAAGAAACCAGTTTTAGCGTTGATTTTAAAACACTAAAAATCTGAAAATGGTAATAATTTTTTTTTTTGTAAAGGTTTGGCAACCCTGGCTGTCAATTGCCACATTTTTCTGTCTGCTGTCGCTGTCAGTTCGGTCGACGGTCTTCTCTTCCTCTTCATTCTTCTGCTCTCTTTCAAAGTTTGAGGTTAGAAGGACAGGAATAAATTGAATTATTGTCACCACTGTTACTATTACACCACAGCACGTGAATTAACTTTTACTGTCCAGTGTGTATATTCCACTGGCGTGTAATTTAGGTACAATGACTGACATTGTTGATGGCCAGTTTAGCGACGCTGATGAAGAGTAAGTCCGTTTTAACCTACATAATTACTACTGCTAATTTATTTTTAGTTCACTTTTAGGCTAAGTAACATAACCTCATTACTCCACTATTTTGTAAATTTTATTTAACATTTCGGGACCAGTCTCTTAACTGGGCTACGCTAATATCGATTAACAATCTATATTTTTAACTAGGCCTATATTGATTATAAAAATGAAACCGTCATAACCTAACCTAACTAACCAAACTTGCAGTAAAGCCGGGTTTACACGATGCTAGTAGGCGAGACAATTGTCTTAGCCAATTGCCATCACGTAGTTGCGGAATTGTCGTAGGCCAGACAAGTTGAACTAGAACCTGTTCACACGTGGCCAACACTTTTCCAGGCATTTTACAATGAACTAGGGTAATATTGCCAAAAGACAAGACAGCGCTATTGGCCTATATTGTTTTCACGGCGCCATTTGTCAAGACAACTGGGTTTTCGATGGGTGACCTCACTGGGCTCATTGTCCTCAGTCTACTCCCGGAGACAACTGAATTTTGGGGCAATTGACAGTTCAATAAATGTGTGCAAGTCATCAATATTGGTTTAGTTTCAGGGCAGTAACATGTTTTAATTTTTGTTATCGTGTGTAATTTGGATGCAGCAGCGTACGTATGTTAGTCGCATTGCTGATGAAGCTAAAGAATAGGACAACAACTCCATCAGAACCAGCATCACTTAGTTCAGAGTTTTTATTCACCTCAGCTGTTTGAAAATTAGTCTGAAGAGAATTAATTTTCTTAGCTATTGAATGTATGGTTCCACAAAGCCGGTAGCCTACCTAACGCACGTTCCACCTCAATTATTTCCAATAAAACTTCTTTCTCATCTTAATCAAGAATCAAGAATTTTTATTCATCGTTAACGCTATGTACAACACATGCAATGGATGAACGTCATTAGTAGCCTAAAGTTTACAGGCAATAAGGCTAAATAAATATAGACAATAAAATATAAACAAGTGCAGAATACATGAAAAAGGTATCACAGTCATCTTAAAAATAAAATACTGAAGTTTATAAAAACATATGTAAGCAAAGACTGAAAACAGGTGCACTGTGTATACAATACATGCAGTGTGTTTAAAATAATAAATAAATCTAAATTAATAAAACTTCTAAAATTTCTTTGCCATACTTATTAACGAATTAGAAAGTTAACCGTTTAAAACACAATTTTAACACAAAATCAACCTACCTCGAGCAAATGAACTTTCAGAATAACAGGATATTGTAAAATACTACCCACCCGATTCAATACCTATATTGAAGATTGTGCAATAATTTTCTAAGCTTTTCTAAAATTATTAACTCAATATATTGCACAACCTGATTGTCCAATTCAATATATCCCATACACGATCAATAATATTGTGCAATATGAAATATTGTGCAATAATATTGACTGTGTATGGGGGCCTAGACTGACAGGATACTGTACAATACTACCCATAAACGGTTAAATATTTTTAAGATTGTGCAATAATTTTCAAAACTTATTGTATTCCTTCAATGGGTATATTGCACAACCTGATTTTCCCCTTTATTGTACACGTTCAATAATATTGTGCAATAATATGACCATGTGTGGGGTCCTTAAAATAGGGATACAAATTAGAATTTTTTAAGAAGTTATTCAATCAAGGAAGTTCAAACTAGGCACGCTATACTGTCATGCCAGTTACTGTGGATGGGGTTTTATACTTAAACAAAAATAAGAGAGAAGATTGTTCTGATAATTTTTAGAAACAATTATTGAATTGTATTATGGTAATAGGCTCTGCTGTTATAAACGTATGTAATACTTAGCCTGAACTAAATCGTCAATTGCTCAAATAACTAATAAGTGAAATATGTTCCAGAAGATCTAAATCAGCGACAGTTCACGAAACCCAACAAGAAAAATGCAAAAAGAATAGGCCTATAATGTACTAGCCTATAGGTCACATATAATCTTTTATTTTTAAACTGATTAGTTCGTCTATACTCTATACTATAGATCTATGAATCAATCAATATTTTGTTGCAGTGGGGAAATACAATGGGGAAAAGAAGAAGGAAAGCCATTTAAGCTTCAAATTATGGATAAATTTTACAATCTCTCTATAAGTGAGCATAACGGTCCTGAAGATTATGATGAAGATTACGAGTCAGCGAGTGAAGATGAAGAGTTATACTACGAAGATGATGATTATGAAGAAGGAGGTAAGCCAAGATTCTTAAATTAGGAATACTAATACACTCTAAAGAGTATGAAATATAGGCCTAAACTTTATTGGTCCAATTAAAACTTAACAGATTTTTAAGAGAAGTTGCTTTTTCATTTCATTAAACTTCTGGGTGATTTAAAATCTTAGTTTTGTTGGTGTTTTATAATTCCTAATTTACCAAAAATCCCAAAATGTTATTTATTTTCTCTTAATATCCATCCATCTTCAAGTAACCTATTTGTTCAGCTTTCATTTCCCCACTAGATGGCGCAAAAAAGGTGTCCGGTAGTATTTAAACATTCTTAGAAACTTATCCTTGCTGCAGTTGACTTATAATTAAAAATTATTCAACAATGGATACTAAGTTAATCATATCCAAATCAGTACCTTAGTCAATCACCCAAGCATTTATTTTGTTAAGCAATATACTTTTTGCAAATTATTTTAGAGTTGGTCTTGTTGCTCAACTAGTGGTTGGTGTCTTTTAATTTGGTTTGAGAGGGACAGGTACAATCCCTGTCATATCCCTAAAAATTTGAAAGGATTTGGATTGCTTCTAATTTAAAGTGTTATTAATACGTTCATACAAAATGCCACTGGTGTAGACACTACTAGAAAAGTTATATTTGTCTTAATTGTTTCGTCAATTTTTTCCTTGAAGAATCTTACGAATGTTTAGAGGAATGTGCTTTAATCTTATAATTTACCTTTGTTACAGAGCTCGAAGGTTATCGCAAATCCAACGATAACTTCAGGCATAGTGGAACTAACTCTCAAGCAGCTAGCAAGAAGGTTTCAAACTATCAGCCGTCAGACAAACTGTTCAAGAAGTATGTCAATAAAATCAACGTGGATAGATATGAGGGTCCTCCACTGCCGAATCACGTTGCTAACAAAGTCATGGAGACGGAGAAAAAAGTCGAAGCCGAAAGGTGAGTTTGAGAGAGATAATTTATCATAATTATGAAGATTGCATGATGATGGGTATGAGGAAAGTTTGACTAAGATTGTAGCCTACTCTAGGCTTCTGAGATTTTTTATGACAACTACACCAAGTCGGACCGATAGACACTGTTATTCAACCTTTTTTCACCCTGGCAGGATACGAACAAAAGACAAACACGACCGGGCGACAGCTGAGCAGGTGATGGACCCTCGGACACGTATGATCCTGTTCAAGCTTCTGAACCGCGGAGTGATCCGCGAGATCAACGGCTGCATATCCACGGGCAAGGAGGCCAACGTGTATCATGCAACAACTATCAAGGACGGAGAACCTAGGGACTTGGCCATCAAGATATACAAAACGTCCATCTTGGTGTTCAAAGACAGAGATAGATATGTGTCTGGCGAGTTTAGGTAAGACAATTATTTTTATATTGATTATAGTTAGACTCTAGTCTTTCCATTGATGTAATTCAAGGAGCGAGCTGGTCTAGTGGTTTATGCGAGACAACCTGAGGTTCCAGGCTTAAGTTCTACCAAATCACCAATGGGTTTTATAGTGATAATGTCGCAACCCATCAGTCTATCCTGAAGTAATGTGAAATATGATCCAGGGTAGAGTTAAGCGTCCTAGGACAAAATGGAAACAAATTGTGTAATAACAATGTGTGTAATTGAATTGATAGTTTTAAAAACTGCTTAATTATTCCTAATAATTTTCAGAATCAACTTTACTACTTGTTTATCACTAAACTGCACTATATAACCACTCAACCAGGCATAGTGTCATTTTTTCAAACAAAATAAACTTACAGGTTGTCAAACTGTATGTTAACTGAAGAATTGTTGTGTTCAGGTTCCGGCACGGCTACAGCAGACACAACCCGCGCAAGATGGTGCGCACGTGGGCGGAGAAGGAGATGCGCAACTTGCTGCGTATGCACGCCGTAGGTCTGCCTGTTCCACAGCCTGTGCTGCTGCGTTCTCATGTGCTAGTCATGGACTTTCTTGGCAAGGAAGGCTGGCCTTCGCCCAAGCTCAAGGTAAGGACAGTTATTTGTATACAAATTAAATGTACCAATACTGTTGTAACTTTTGCTGAGCCATCTAAGAAAGATTCTGTTACAATGTTCATGGCTGCTACATTTTCAAATCATAATCTTTTTTTGCACAGAAAATCTGTATAGTAGCGTCACACACAAGAATATAAAATAAAACTAAATTCTAAATGGGCCTACTATAAGAACTAAAATGTAACAGAACAGTATCTTGATTCTATCAGCAACTTAAAAACTATTACATAGTGTATTGTAGGGAGCTTGTTCTAAAAGTGTACGTTTGACCGGTCTCCCAAACTTTTTATTGTCTTGTTCAACTTTAAGGGGTTCAGGAAACACATTAAAAACCTGATAGGCCTACTGTTATAAAAGAATCCCCCCTCAAAGAATCTTGCCCTGTGCTTATGTAGCTTGATATGGTTTTTGTGTCTGAGAGTGTAGACTATTGCATTGAATGGAAATGCGGTTGATACAAATGATAAATTTCTTTTTATTCAAACCTTGTTAGCATAAATATTTTGAATTATTTTCCCCTGAGAAAAATCAGTCCAAGTTCAAAATAATCATCAAATATTAACAGAAAATAGAGTTGTTTGTCTTATTTTACATATAAAAGGCACAACACGTGTAACAATTACCTATAGATGACTATAGATGTTGCTATTGCCACAGTATATTCTTGGAGAATGTTGTGCTAACATTGAGTATCCCCACAGGATGTAGAGTTGTCCCAGAGTAAAGCTTGTAAGCTCTACAGAGACACGGTCACTATGATGTGGACATTGTACAACAAGTGTAAACTGGTTCATGCCGACCTTAGCGAGTACAACATGTTGTAAGTATCGCATACTTGTTTAATGAGATTATTGCAATATTCTGTCAAATAACTTTTTTGTTAAATCCAGCATTTGATCATTTATGTGGTAGCTTTAACAGTTTCATCATTCACCTTTGTAAATTTAACAGCAATTGAGAAACAAAAGCAATTAAATAAATTTGGGCTTATTTGTGTTGTAATAATTCATTAATTCCTAAGGCTTCCCCTGCTGAGCCCTTGTCAAAGGCCTATAGTAATATACCTGTTGTAATTCAGGATATGTAAATTATTTGTGGGTAGATGAATTTAATCAATTTATTTGGTCCTGTGTTTTTTGCAAGATAGAAAGACCAATAGACATATAATTTTGATTTTATCGACAAACGTTATCTATGTTGATCTGGTTGCAGATATCACGAGGGACAGGCATACATGATAGATGTCTCCCAATCAGTAGAACATGATCATCCTCATTCCTTGGAGTTTTTAAGGAAAGATTGCACAAATATTACAGGTAACCATTTTATTTTTATAGAGAAGAACTAAACCAGAAGTTATTATGTTTTTTCTAGCAGTTAATTACTTTTGTAGAGTTGAAAACTTTAGACAATTTTTTTTATTGATAACAGATTTCTTCCATCGCAACCAAGTGGCCACCATGTCGGTGAAGGAGTTGTTTGACTTTGTCACGGACCCGACGATCACCGAGAAGAACATGGAGTCTTGCCTGGACAGGTTGTCGGAGCTGGCGGCCACCAGAGGCAGTGACATGACGGACGAGCAGACAGTCACGGAGGAAGTGTTCAAGAGCGCCTACATCCCTCAGCGGCTTACAGAGGTTAGTATGGGATAAGCCACCTTTATCAATCATGCTTTCTGGGGATTTTCAAAAATGTTTATTTGTTGAGGTCCTATTACATCCAGTTCTAACAATTTAAAGTGAACAGAATTCCTATGCTTAAATGCAACAAATTGCAATTCCAGCATTTTCAACCAAGGTTTGACTTTAGAAGACACGTTTTTCAGCTGATTGTGACTTAAATGACTCATGAAATGAAATGAATGAAATGAAAATCCTTCTTTATTGAGGCGAACTTAGGACCTCATGGTCCTTTCTTACAGTTAACAGACTCATGCAGCTGTAGGTGGCAGTGAAATATTTTATATAGGGATGGTCAAGTCTCGAAATTTTCGGGAAATTTTAAATCTCGTTACACGAGACGAGATTTATTTTTGGCCGAGATTTTTATTGAGACAAGAATAAAAAAAAAAATTAAAAACGCCTGCAGAAAGTCAATGCAATACCCGCAATACAGGAGCGTGTTGTAGTTGCGTTTCCTTTGCGAAGGCGTTCTTATTTAATTAATTCTTTAAATGTAAATATTACTTTAATTATTTTAATAATATTACTTTAATAACATTTGAGAAGTTTTGTTACGTGTAAGCAGTGTGAGGAATGTTTTATTACTATAAAAAGTCAAAACAAGTAAATATTTTATAAAAATTAATATTGCTTTTATTTTATGATTTATTTTATTTTAGGATAAGTTTAACTCCATCCTAACTGATATCACTATGTTTCCTAATCGTAGGCATTTTTAATAAGTTAGGCGTGATTAATAAAAAAATGTTATGCTGATGTTTTTTAATAAAAGATTGTAAATATTCTTGCCGATTATCATTATTTTTGTATTTAAACAGTCATCTAACAATGTTACAAAATCAGGTAAAAACTTTGAACGTGCATTTCCCGTTGTGTATGAGAAGGGAAATCCCGTCTCAATCTCGTCTCGAAATTTTATGAGAAATAAAAAATCTCGTCTCGTCTCGTCTCGAACTAAAAATCCAATCTCGTCCATCCCTAATTTATATTTTTTTATAGTGTAATTTGAGTGTGTTTCTTGTGCAAGACTGGACTCTATCCCATTCAGGCAAGCCTGCAATCCTAACAAAAAAGCTTAAAACCTGGGCTCTAGTGCTCTATTTTACATCCCTATGTACAAGAAATGTTTTTAAGCAAGAGCCGTTTTTGTGTATAACTCTGTAGTTCACTTACGTTGCAACTAGGCAACTCGACGCTTACTGGCATCATGAGTGAACAGAATGACGCTATATGCAGCTCTGTTACTGTCGTGTACCTGTGTGTTTAGACATTTTTTAAATTGTTAAAATTATTAATAAATCTCCCACCGAATGCAAGATAAAGTCAATGATATGATTCTTGACCACAAGAAACATATCCGATGCCGACATTCATTGCCAGAATGGCCTAAATACAATGGGTGAGGGTTGGGTGCTGAAATGGGTTATGGAGTATAAAAATGACTGTGAAAGCCCTTTTCCTCGGTGGCATTCTGAGAAAATTCTGGGTACCCATTAAAAACAATTTTTTTTTTTTCATGAAAATGCCCATTTTGAAACTCACTAACACACTAACCCATTTCTGCAACCCTCACTCATTGCATTAATGCCATACATGTAACTTGTTATCAAGGTTGACTGGGTTAGAGGGTCTTGTTATCGAGGTTTCACTTTATTTTCTACCTGTATTAAAACCACTCTTGATCATTTGCCAATTGAATTATCCTGACCAAAAAACCAGCAGATCTTAGTAAAAAAATCATCTCATTCATTCAACACTTCTTTGTCAAATAGCACCCTGGTCTTTTGGCATCATATCAAATTAAAAATATACATATAATCTATATCACAGTATATCAACAGGTAATAGACTTCGAGAGGGACATAAACCTCGTCAAGTCGGACCCAGAGGGCAAGGCAGCCGAGGACCTGACCTACCGCACACTCCTGGGTATGGGCCAGGACCTGAACCCCCAGACTACCCCTGAGCTACTGGTAGGGGAGAGTGAAGAGAGTGGGGGAGAGGAGAGTGATGGAGCGGAGGAGGAAGAGAGCAAGTTTGTCAACGCTGCACGACCAAGAGACGAATCACCCAACAGTAAAAAGGTAATTTTTTTAGGAAAAACACTTGGCTTAGGTATACATTTTAGGAAGGATATACACAACTAACTTGCCCAAGAGGTTTCAGGTAGTAGGCACACAAAAAGATCATAACATAATTTGTTATTTCACTGTAACAAAAGGGGCTTCTTCATTCAGATCTACTATTTCCTTTTGAAGACTGTTTTTTTTCCTCTTTTTCCTCCCATGTAGGGGCGGAGATATACAATTAATCGTTTGGTTAACTTATTCACGTTATTTTGTGAAGTTTTCTACTGCCTGGAATTTTCTCTTTGGTTATCAGGTTATCATTCCTTCTTCCTCAATACATTCAAACATTAAACACATGAAATTAAGCTAAAATGAGAATTAAATGTAAAAAATTAATTTTTGTGATTTTATTAGGTTTTTTTAATTGTCAAGCAAAATTTCAATTCAAAATAAATGCATTAAGTCTCGCTAATACGAACAAATTGGAACTAATTCATGTTTGAATTTATGAACATTTTGATTTAGGAAAGTTTTGACGTACTTTCCATAATGCCAATTTATATGTGTTGAGCTTCTGAAGTGTTAAGAATAAAAATACCCCCGCCGCAGCAAACCTGCAGACTAAGCAAATTTCCATTAACCTGATTGGATTTACACTGAAATGCCTCCATAAAAATAGCACATTTATTTCCTATTTAAATAGAATAAGTTTAACGAGTACTTAGGTTTGCTGCAACAGGGAGGGTAAAAAGGTTTTTTTTTATAAATTGATAATAGTTTAGTAAGAAATAAAAGTATTTTCCAAAATCGATCAAAATATGTTCATAAACAAGCAAACTACAACAGTTGACTTATTCTCCATAAGAATAACATGGGAATTTCAAAATTAAAATTTTTTTGAATTTTCTCCGTAGCAAATAGGCGCATAATAACGCTTCAATATACTAAATTATTTGTTTTTTTAAGCTCTACAAAATGGTTTAAAAAGAAATTGTGAAATTTCGTGTTTTTAGGGTCAAAAATGGGAAAAACCTATTTTTACCCCATAAAACCCCCCATAAACCCCCGTTCCCATAGTCCGATCATGCTGGTTCGCAAACTCATTCAAGTTTATCCCGCCTTACACCTTCAAACCAAATTTTATCAAAATCAGACAAAAATTACTCAAGTTATCGTGCGGATGGACACACACATATATATATATATATATATATATATAGATATATACAAATTTGAACGAATGGTGTTTTTGGCCTCTGGGGACATCAAAATGAAAAAGTAAATCGGTCCCGGGCGTAGGTCTTACCATGAGACCTACGGTAATAGCTACTTCCCTATAGAGAAATTCGCTAAAATGATAAATTCAATTAAATTTGTACAAAAAATAACTGTATTGTATGGTGACTGAGATAAAAGGTTGAATTGATGTAACAGTAGTTAAAAGTGTTACATTGATCATTAATATTCCTGTTCTTAAATTAATTTACAATGTTTCATTCATCCTCAACTAAACAATTATCTTCTTTAGGCAAGGAAAAAGGCAGTTAAAGAACAAGCAGCCGAGAAAAGGAAAACTAAAGTCCCAAAACATGTGAAGAAGAGAAATGAAAAAGTGAAGAAGAGTACCAAGTAACTCCATCATTCTAAGTTTTAATGTAATATATGTAAATAATAATTTACATTGAAAAGTTGCATTTACATTTACATTTTTTCACCTACTTCATTTTGCTTTGCTCTTATACAAGTCTGTATCCAAAGGGAAAAATTCAAACACAATAACTTTGTAATAATTAGACAAACAATCGTATAATTTAGTCGCAGTATGTACAAAACTGTACATTAAGTAGATCTCTTGAATTCTTCCAGTGTTGGTTATTCCCCTGATGATGACTGTCTCAAACGAGAAAGTTGGATGAATAAGAAGATAAATGTCATAGCCTGACTGAAACTCTGTAACAAAAAAATTAATTGTTAACTATTAAAGGAATGGTTATTCAAAATTTAATTTAAACTAGGTACTCTTACAATTAAAATAGCAAACATTTTAGCAATAGTTATTATAACCAAAATTTGTTGCAGATCTAAAAAATCATTTTATTTTTACTTTGGATTTTTTCCTAGCTATTCCCCTTCTGTCTTATTAGATTTATAAAGAAAGTAGCTGATGGTTTTCTTAAAATTTAGGAGATTTCTAAAGGGGAACGCCTTTTAAATTCTTGAAGAACAGCCCTCTCTCATAAAATCCACTGAAATAATTTTTAAACAGAATACAAATTCAGATAATGTCTGATAGATTAACATGTAAATGTTGAGAGTAAATGACTCTTATTAACACTAATACCGAAACCCCGGTCTGACAGGCCCACGGGAATTTTCAAAAATGTATGTTGGCAACACTGGTTACTTTTGAGATTCTATTCCCCCTTTTCCTCCTCTACCTATTGATATATTGTTTGTTCATTTTGCGTGGGTGCCGTGACCTTGACAGGTTGTCTGTTCATAACATACCCGTCTCAGAAGCCCATCGTTAGTGTATTTTAAAGCAGGGTCTCACAGGCCGAGGGTTTCGGTTTGTGTGTGTCTAAGCGGGGTCCATTATTTTTCAAATGAGGTCTCACAGACCGGGGGTTTCAGTTAACATCAGCCTAAGTAGGGTTTCGATATTAGTGTTAACATACATTACTGACCATGAAAGAAAATAGCAGAAGATGTTGACTGTTCTGTTAGGAACTGTTTTTGTCTCAGCCTAATTCAGACTTGTGTATATAAAAGATTTGAACAATTCTGTAACTGATTGGGTTGCACTGCACATCAAGTTAAGTCCTAATTTAATGGACAATGAAAATAATGATGGAATACCTTGAACAGAAACCTCAATCCAACTGTGAAGAATCCAAATGCATCAACATTGAAATTACTTTCCACCATCTGTTCCAAAAGTAACATCAACTGCAAAAAATATTTCAGAGTTAAGTTCCTTTTGATTGAGAAAGAAATGTGTGTAGAGGCATAAGCAGTATTAAAGTGAAATTGAATAATTTAGTGTCATTATGGTGTTCATTATGACGGTATGATTAAATACAACCTATGACTACAAATACTCTACATTTGATTCAACCTGTGGATTTTTGGAGCAGTGATGTGATTTAGAAGAAGTTTAATTACATTTTTTGACAACATTATTACACCAGTAAAACCTAAATATTTTTGTCAAGTGTGCTGGTAGCCTAGTGGTTAGCACATTGAACATTAGGGCGAGGTTTATTGGTTCGATCCCCATCGATTCTACAATGACCACTGATAAAATAAAAAACCAAATCATTGATTACATTTACATACCTCTTCTTTCACATTGCTTTCCATCTGCAAAGTATCCATTTGATACAGTGACTTTGTAGTTTTTTCTACCTAAAAAAAAGAATTAAATAATTTTTAAGTCCTTTGAAAGATCACTACCACCTTTGACTAGACAATGCTACCGGTAGTACTAAGTCAGTGAAAGCTGTCTCTATGACTTATTGTTTCTATCTTATTAAAAATAAGAAAATAAAAGATGGTCAGCTTTAGTGAAGGTGTTTTTTTTTTTTTTTTTTTTTTGTCCTAGGACGCTAGGCACGAGCCTGGGATTGTTTTTCACATTACTTCAGGCTAGACCTAGGGGTTGCGGCATTATCACTTAGATAAAATCCATTGGTGACTTGGCGGGAATCGAACCCAGAACTTCAGAGACTGAAGTCCCGCGCTCTAACCACTACGCCAGCTCGCTCCCTTAGTGAAGGTGTTAAACGAGGGTGAAACTAACCCATGGCACTGTGATTTATTCTTTTTTCTGCCTCCCTCTTCTAAAAGGAAACCCCCTTTCTCTAAACACTGGGAAACGTTTTAGCCCAATTGTTACAATATTCTAAACTCTACTCCATTTTCTATGTCCAGAGTATTTTATTTAGAAACCTTATTTTACCATGAGGGTTGAAATAAAACGGTCGTAAACTACCGTTTTTTCACCCTAAATATTTTCATTTTCTTTGTTGTAAAACAGAACTTGCAAGTGAGTTAAAATTAACCTTTTCTCATAGAATATCAGTTAGCATACAACATTTTTTTTCTTACCAGCTTCAAAACTCTTGTCGCAACAATAACAAGCCAGAACACGAATGACAATTCCTCAACACTGCGCACAATGAAATAAATTGTTTTGAAAAAATAGATCCTCAATATTTGATCCCACAATGAACCAGCTGTTGAGAGTGTTTTAATAAAATAACCTGTCATTTGTATGTAGTCGTTAATTGATATGATAGTTTGTAAAACCACTGCTCCGGTAGTTAAAAATAAATCAAATTCATAAACTTTGACTGCCGATTGAAATAAAGAGACGAGCACTAAAAACCTCTTCTTAACTTTGGCTAGTTTGGTTTCACTACAACCTCCTTTAACGAGTTTGTCCAAATAACGTATTTCACCAAGAATCGAGTAGCAAAACATAATAAACTGTGATAGCAGAAAAACTGGGCCCCAGCGAACAACGTAAGTGACGAACAAGTTAAATTCAAGCAACAAATTACTCTTTCCCGCCATCCAAAACCAAACAAGTTTAAAAAGGACGACAGTTATTTCAAAATATATAATCCACGTACCAACCACAAAAAATTTCCTTGAGAATTTTATTTGGTGGAAAGTACGTTTTAGCAAAGAGTTTGTCTTTATAGTCATAACCATTCTGTGAAGAATTTCAATGACATTTAAAGTGAAAAAGAGGTAACAGCTTAACAACTGGATTTCACCGTTGTAATAGTTGTAAAGTTCACAGGTGTTGCTTGAAGTCCAATAGATCAGGTAGATGCGAAAAAAGAAGAATGTGAACCCAAGCCATTTGATCTTAATGATTAGAAAATCTCCTTTTTGTGTTAAGCTGAAGGGGAAAGATCCAAAAACAAAGTTAAAAACTGTCCATATACTAATGGCAAACATGTTGAACTGAACAAACTGTAAAACGAAAGGTGTAATCGTTGAATAATGGTTGATGGCTATTACTGTAGTTGTCAATCACATTATGTTATCGTAATTATATCAATCACTTCTTTATCCTTGTATTTATTTTTATCTTTCAGTTGAGGGATGCAAACGTATTATAGGGCCATTGATTAGTTATGGTTTCTAACAACATTCGATAGTAGATAATTATTTCAGGGTTTAAATGTAAACTTAAAAGTCTTTGAAGCATGCAAAGAAATAGTCATGAAATAGCTATGATTACGGAGAGAATCAACTTCCAGTTTTAAAAAAATTACTCGGTTGAACTAAGCTACCGTCAGAGTGTGCTGTTGTCAATAAAATACACCGACTTTTGAACCAAGTCAATCTGAAAGAACCTTACAGTAATCTTAAAGCTTCATTCGCCCACATTAATTGCCAATGTTTCAAAAAATTGGATAGAAAAATATAATTTTTACAGTATTGCACAGAAATTTAAAATGCAGTGCTATTAGCATTTTTATTTTTCTATTTAGACTACGATTAAATTTTTCCTCCTTCCCAAAACTAAGGATATTTTTATGATATAGCTATTGAGGTTCATATACTATAGTCTGTTTGGAGGAAAGTATTTTTACTAGTCAAGTTTTATAATATAGTTCTACGTCCTTTCATGTTTCATCTTTTTAATTAGTGTGTATCTAGCATGTAAGACAACTTTTAGGCAATTCAAGGAATGGTGTACCACAGGAGTTAGTGCTCACTCCATTATTTTTTCAAGTGTATAATCTGATACCTCTACCTCTAGTAATTTCACCATAGACAAAAATAATTAAATATGGACCGTCAGCCGTGCTGCGATTACCATAGGTTCTGGCGCACACCGCTGGGAGCGCCATGTAGTTATGGTGTACGTGCTACGTAACTACACGGTGCTCCCAGCAGTGTGCGCCAGAACCTATGGTAACCGCAGCACGGCTGACAGTCTAAATTTAATTTTTTTTTGTCAATGATTTCACATATGCTAACGGCATTGCCCATTGCTAATGAAAGGACGATCTGAGAAGGCACTAACAAACACACTTGCAATCCTCAAAATATGTGCAAAAACTTGGAAGCGTGATCGAGTAACCACGAGGCAGTAACAGAAGAGATATTATAACCTTGTTGCAATTTATGTTAAGGTGATTTTGCATAAACAAAAGAACATTAGGTCAAGATGGACCTCATCCAAACTCTAGATGTTGCATTGTCAACCACTCAGTCAGTTCATCCAGTGAAAGGCCTTGCACCAAAAACGAGTTCATAAAAAACACAGGAGGTTTTATGTCACTCGATGATACGACCGAGCAGCCAGATGAAGGTAAAGCAGCCAAATCTCACTACTTCACTAAGTAGAAAGGCTGTAAAGATCTTCATGCAAGAGGTTAAGAATTCAACCCTTCCAAGTGGCGCTGAGGGAAGAAAACAGAACCCAAAAGACTAGAGGTGAAGGGCATCTTGCCCAACTAGATGCTGGGACTAGGGTGGCCAAGCACTCTAGAGGATATTCCACCCTCAAGACTTGCAAAGAAATCCAGCGCTCCAATTAGCAGGTCTGAGGAGGGAAATGGCACCGAGATACCTGGGACCACCAGCAAACAATTAAGTTTCCAACAAGGACATTGCTGCTGGAAAAATCGCTATTGTTCTCAAAAACTATCCTTAGACTAAGCTTTAA